GGATAGCCATCGTAGCTCTACTGTACAAACACTTCAACACTTCGATATACCGACAGTCCACTTGGCACCGCTGAAGGGACTGCAGCACCACCCAAATTTTGACGGAATCAAAGGCTTTCTCATAGTCCACATACGCCAGAAATAGTGGCAAATTGTACTCCTCTGACTTTTGTTAAATTTGGCGAAGGGTATGTATGTGGTCTATGGTGCTAAAGCCTTTTCGGAAACCGGCTTGTTTGGGAGGCTGGAAGTCGTCAATTCTGCGTGCGAGACGATTCGTAACGACTCTCTAAAACAGCACGTAGACGCGGCTCAGAAGGGAAATCGGTCTGTAGTTCTTCAAGGGAGTGTTGTCGACTTTCTTGAAGAACAAGACCACCGCAATTCTGCTCCACGCGTCCGGTGTAATGCCAACATGGAGAGCGGAATTTAAGAGCTTCTGAAGGACTTCAAGTACCGGTTTTCTACCCGCTTTCAGAAGCTCCGCTGTAATTCCATCCTCGGGGCCTTGCCGTTTTTAAAGTGCCATTCCAGCTCGCTCAGACTGACGTCCGGGATATCATCGGAATAATGTCGGATAAGACTCGCTCTTGGATCGTTACTCACACTCGCGTGTGGCTCCAACGATGACGTGTACAGCTGCCCATAGAAACTCTCAATCTCACTCAAAGCCTCAGGTGCCCTAGAAACGATGCTGCCACATTCTGTCTTCAGCTTTGACAGTTGGCTCTTTCTTGCAGACAGATCTCTGGCAAAGAGTTTGGAGCCCTCGTTCCGCTCGATCGCTTCTTCAATACGAGCTGTATTGAAGTTGCGTCAGTCCCGCCGCATGCATTTGGAGATCTGTCTGTTCAGTTGCCTGTATGCTGTTAAATCTGTTGAAGAAAGTAGCTTCATCTCCCGTCTAACAGCCATGAGATTAAGAGTGTGATCGGAGAGTTTTTGTGTTCTTCTGCGGCGGGTCTTGCAGAACTTAGCTCCGACCGCATGGACAGTTTCCACGAGCTTGTCATTCATATCGTCCACTTCATTGCAGTCTTTTAGGCACTGAAAACGGTTTTGTAACTCGAGCTGAAAGGTTTCGCGACTTTGGATTAGAGCACGAGGGGGACGGCGCGTTGACTTCATTAGACGAGACCTCTCCAACTTAACGTTTTAGGTTCAGTGTGCCTCTCACCAGTCGGTGATCGCTGACGGTTTTCACCATCGCGATCACTGAGACATCACTGAACAGTTGTCATCTGGTCGTCATAATGAAGTCTATCTCATTTTTTGTCAAACCGTCGGGGTTTGACCAAGTTCACTTCCTTTGGGGCCGCTTCTGGAAGGAAGAGTTCATCATAAAGAGTCCCTCTTTCTCCGTGAAGTCGGCCAGCTGCTGGTCCCTTGGGTTCCGTTACCTTATTCCAAATTTCCTTAATTTCAGCTCACCATTCCCTCTTGTGCCTTGTTTTGCATTGAAGTCTTCCATTAACACCGTATATTGGGTTTTGGAGGAATGCGTGGCTCTAGAGATATCCTCGTACATTTCCTCCACCTCCTCATCGAAGTGTGCCGAGGGTGGTGCGTAAACCTGTATGACCTTCAGCGAATACCGTTTGGTGATTCTGAGTATAAGTTACGCAACCCTTGTTGACACACTCTCAATCTTTACAACGTTGTTGACGAGAGACTTGTGGACGATAAATCCGCATCTATCACGGGGAGTGCTCTGAGGAATTGTTCGGACTAATTCCAGCCGCTCAATTTCACTATCGTACATCGCGACAAAACTCGCGTTACCATCCATACCATCTGGATGATTGGCGGTCCACCACTGTGCGATTTAGAAGAAGTTTTCTCCCTCGCACAACTTCTTTGTGGAATCAATTACCACCAGCGAATTTTCCGAACCGATACGACTTAGGAACCTTCAAGAAAAGAGCTTACACCTTTCTAAAAGGCCGGCAACGCATCTGCAATTCCCCTGGTGTTGCGGTTGTTCATGGGTGGCGGTAGTCACTTACCTTCAGGTGAGCCGCATGCTCGTTTGCCCCCTATTCTATAAAAAAAAACCTACTTGGGACAGATGGGCGACCATCTGTCCCAAGTAGGTTTTTTTTCCCGGTAATAGAGCAAGTTGCCGGATTTGAGGGTTACCGTTTCCTTTCCCTCTCTTCAGACTTCGGATAATCCTATAATATGCCAGCGTAACTTGTCTATCTCTTCTTCCAGCTCTACAATCTTCTCGTTAGTCCTCAGGGTGCGTGCGTTGTATGTTGCCAGGTCGTAGGTGGCAACTGAACCTCCACCGGAGATTCTTAGCACCCCCTGCCACGCCGTTACTATGGTCACCACCGTAGCCAGGAATAGCGGGGCTGCTGGGGACTGGGGGCCGTCTCTTAGTAACTTTATCCATTTGCCATAGTTGCCACGCTTGGCAAGCGGGTTGGCAACCGCAGTTTTTTATTGTATTTTTGCTTTTATCAGGAAGATGTTGCTGCCCATCTCCTGCCTGTTTCCCTTTGTTGCCTTTTACGACAACCACGGGAAGATATGGGGTAGTGGATATTCTTAACCGCCACTACACGGCAAGCAACATATTTATTGGAAAATATATGGAAACACAAACTATTATGATTTTTTTCTATATTGAGTTTGCGATTAAAAACTTTAAAGGGAATGTATGTATGAATTCTGAACAATACAAGTTTTGTTGAATAATTCATGAAAAAAAAACATTTAAAATGTTTAACAATCAAGTATACCAAATAAAATAACAATAAAAATAATCTCAACCCTATATATAAAATAATGTTTAAAATATCACAAAATAATAATAACAATAATTGTTTAAATATTACGATTATATTTAAAATGTCCAAAAATCTAAAAATATTGAAGGTTATATAATAGCATTAGCATGAGATGTGGGATGGTTAATGATATTTATCTTCCTTTCACACACAAATAAGTTTCTTGACAATCTCGATTGTTATAAAGGCGTTAGTTATGATGAAATTCTTTCATATTTCTTTGTGAAGTAAGCAGAATCGATAGCGACTCCTATATCATTATCTTTAATCGATGTTTTGCAGAAGGTTCGTTTATTAAAATTTGGAAAACCACTAATATTGTTCACGTAGATAAAAAAAGGAACCAAAACAGAACAAAATTCTTTTCTTAATATGTGGAGTAAATTGATGGAGAGAGTTGCGCATAAGCATTTATATCCTCTGATTATCATCACATTCCTTCGCAACAGCACTGATTCGTTTGTGGTCGCTCAACCAGGCCTCATCATCATCATCATCATTACAGCCTATCCCACTGCTGAACAAATGCTTCCCCCGATGAATGTCACAAAGCACGGTCCTGAGCCACCACTTCCTGCATGTCTTACCAGGTCGTCACCCCATCTAGTGGAGGTTCACCACACACTTCGGCTACCGGTACGAGGCTGCCACTGAAGAACTTTTCTTCTCCATCGCTGGTCGGTTCTTTAAGCTATATGGCTGTCCCATTGCCACTTCAGCTTACTAATTCGTAGAGTTATGTCGGATACTGTGATGATACTGCGGATCACCTCATTTTTAAGTTTATCACGCAGAGAAACCACGAGCATAGGCTTTTTCACAGCTCGTTAAGCAACCTTGAGCTTCCACATACGACTAGCAGTGAAGGACAACATCTCAGATCCATAAGTCATCACTGACAACACGCACTAGTTGTACAATCTCGTTTACAAGTTTTAAGGTATACCTGGTGAGAAGATGTGTCATAAACTCCCAAACGCTGCCCAAACAAGTTGAATCCGACGATTTACCTCTCGGTTGAAGTTGGACTTACCTAGTCGGATTATTTGTCCCAGGTAAACATATTCGTCAACAAATTCGAGCTTAGTGCTCCCAAAAACTACCGCCATAGTCTTAACATGAACGTTACACATGAATTTGTTTTGTCCATGTACATCTAATGATCTATCATAGTCTGTATATTTTAGTTTTAGATGAGTATTATTTAGAAAAGTTTTCTGAATTTTTATGCCTAGCACAATTGGGACATGGTCTACTAAGGGATCAAATACAATATATATTAGTAGTATGTAATAATTAGTAGGCAGATTAATGCCTGCTGGATACTTTATATTGCAATTAGGTTAAGGTAGTTTTGCACGTGCGAGAGTGCAAGAACTGTCGGATAGTATACCTTAATTAATATCACTGTTAGTTTTGTCTTCGGGCTACTTGCTCTTACCAAGCAAAAGGCAGAAGTAAGCTTCTGCTTCACGCTGATATTCTAAGCGGTCGTGGTACATCCTCGCTTCGGTCTGACTCATCCGAGTGACAGCAATAGCTACCGTGTGGCTCTATAATAGCATCTAACCGCACAAACATAAAAGACAAGTTAAAAAAAATTAAGAGCTCATTTTGCATCAAAATGTAGAGGAATTTGAGATAAAGTGTAAAGACCTGTTTTGTGTTAAACTTCCAGGACAGATAGAAAGCAATGCCAGAAGTGATATAAGCTATATTTTATATAAAAAACGATTTTTAAATCGTATAGTCGGTAAAAACAAACGATGACATTTATTTTTAATATGATATGGCAAAGCCGGTGCGGGTTGTTAGTCGCCATAAATACCACATGTGACAGCAACACCCTGAAATATTTATTTATAAAAGTGTCTTGGACGTTATAGAACCATGCTGCAGCTATATTAGTAGTATGGTACGAATGGATCAGCTCAACCGGGGAAGGAGCACGCTCTCACAGAATACCAGGGTAAATAGCAGCTCAACACTGCTGTATTTCGTCTGATGAGTGATACTGGAAACGAGGCTTTCCATCTTAGTACTCATAGTTGACAACGCCTTTTGATTCGTAATTGAGGATAGATGTAGATGTCTATGGGCCACAGCATCCATTTACTATGGTATATGGTGGACTGTGTGCACGATTTTCACCCTTATCATATGAAAAAAGAATTAAGTGTACTAATATAAAACTAAAAAAAAAAAATATTTCAATTCATTTATTCTCGCAGTTCTTATTAATTAATAAACAATGCAAATTACAAAGTAACGTAAGGTCAATAACATATTATTAAAACCAGTCATCGCAGTAATTTCTATCGTATTAAAATAGTTAAAGAATATAGTTTCTACAAATCTTTTCTACATACTTCTTCCTTTATAGTACAATTCTGTGATTTAACTCTATTCTTATTGGATCCTTCGTACACTTCTGCATTAAAACCAATATATTTAAGACCACGGAAATGTAGAGCAGCATTATCTTTAACAAATTCATTTTTCATTGATACAAACCCACTTCCCTCCACAGTAGCCACTTTGTTGATACCACTTTCCTTTAATGAATCACTTTTAAGAGTCACCGTGTCACTTATGTTAGTATTAATTTGTTTCGGTTTTGGTGGCCTAAAACATAATAGTTATGATTAATTTTGTTGACCCTTTCATAAATACGTTGTGTGTTCAATCCTAATTTGATGTTATTGATTACCAAAGATATTGTTAATTACAGTTATAATTACTGATAATTTACCAGTTGCTCGCAAGTCAAAGAAAGTATTAGGAATGTCTCAGAAATTGAAATAAAATGAATTACGCTGTGAAGTCCGTTCACACACCGGAAAGAGTTCGCCGTGGTACTTCAATGTGTGTAACACTGGAGTAGTCAAAACCCTCTTAGAGTTGAGAAGAGGCAGCCGTGGGATGAACAATAGAGGTAACGTTTTGTTTGTTTTGATGTAAATGTTAATGTGCTTACTTTTTAAAATATATAGAAAACTATTAAAGTCCTCCGACACTATACTGACATTTTTATAATTAGCCACGCTACAGCCATATTATTATGGTCTTAGCACGAATGGGTTGGCTCGTCCAGGGTGGGACCACGCTTTCACAAAATGCCAGCCTAAAATAGCAGCTTAATTCTGCTGTGTTCCTTATGGTGAGTGTAGAGAACCGAATACCCTTTTTACTTGAAAACAGGCATTCTATCTTAGTCCTCACGTGTTAAAACGCACCTGCATTTTGATTCCTATTCAAGGAATTATGTAGATGTCTATGGGTCACAGCAACCACTTACCATCAGGTGGACTGTGTGCTCGTTTGTTATCCTTATCCTATATAATAAGACAACCGGATATCCTTTTTACTAGAAACGAGGTAATTCATCTCAGTCCTCAAGGGCATCGCATCTGCATTTGTGATTCCTAATTATGGTTAAAAGTAGATGTCTATGGGCCACAGCATCCACATACAATTAGATGAACTGTGTGCTCGTATGTTACCCTTATTCTATAAAGAAAAACTTGATATAATCAAAGAGCAACTTAATAAACTTGAGCGACTCCAAAAACTCTGTATGCTGATCATATTTAGGCTTCGTTAATGTGTCCATGTCTCGGAATTTCTTCCTTAACTCCCAATCGGTTTTAGTCGGATCACTAATATTCTTTCTGATCTCTACTGTATCTCATTTAACCCTTGATATATATAATATCAAGTCTTCCCTATCTAAAATAACGTTTTAAATTGCTCAGCTCCTGTCATGCTTTTTCCTAACTGTTCAAGAAAATTCTTTCCCTCTAAAGTCCTTTGCACGTCTCTATATGATAAATCATTCTCTCTTCTTTGAATAAGACTTTGTAACTCTTTGCCCTAGTCGATTAAAAGAGATCAATTCTTACATGTGTTCAAGAAACAGGTTAAAGAACACTATTTGCCTCTCTAACTTCTCTCTCTTCCTTTTTTTTATTTATGGTCATTGACCCTATAGAATGCAGCATTAAAAAATAACATTTTTATTTAGTTAAGAAATAGCTTAATTAATTAAATAAAAATGTTAATTGAATAATTGCCGTGTAGTGGCGGTCAAGAATATCCACTACCCCATATCTTCCCGTGGGTGTCGTAAAAGGCGACAAAGGGAAACAGACAGGAGATGGGCAGCAGCATCTTCCTGATAATAGTCAAAATTACAATAAAAAAACTGCGGTTGCCAACCCGCTCGCCAAGCGTGGCAACTATGGCAAATACCCCCCTATGAATGTAACAAAGAGACGGCCCCCAGTCCCCGGCGGCCCCGCTATTCCTGGCTACGGTGGCGACCACGGTAACGGCGGGGCAGGGGGTGCTAAGAATCTCCGGTGGAGGTTCGGTTGCCACCTTAAACGACTCGACCTGGCAACGTACAACGCACGCACCCTGAGGACTGACGAGAAGATCGTGGAGCTGGAAGAAGAGATAGACAAGTTGCGCTGGCATATTATAGGATTATCCGAAGTCTGAAGTGAGGGGGAGGACACGGTAATCCTCGAATCCGGCAACTTGCTCTATCACCGGGAGGGCGACCATCTGTCCCAAGGAGGTGTCGGATTTATCGTCCACAAGTCTCTCGTTAACAACGTTGTAAAGATCGGGAGTGTGTCGACGAGGGTTGCGTACCTTATACTCAGAATCACCATACGGTATTCGCTGAAGGTCATACAGATTTACGCACCAACCTCGGCACACCCCGATGAGGATGTGGAGGAAATGTATGAGGATATCTCTAGAGCCATGCATTCCTCCAAAACCCACTATACGGTGTTAATGGGAGACTTCAATGCAAAACTAGGCACAAGAGAGAACGGTGAGCTGAAAGTAGGGAAATTTGGAATAGGGCAACGGAATCCAAGGAGCCAGCAGCTGGCCGACTTCATGGAGAAAGAGGGACTCTTTATGATGAACTCTTTCTTCCAGAAGCGGCCTCACAGGAAGTGGACCTGGTCGAGCCCCGACGGTTCCACAAAAAATGAGATTGACTTCATTACGACGACCAGACGACAACTGTTCAGTGATGTCTCCGTGATCGCGAGGGTGAAAACTGGTAGCGATCACCGAATGGTTAGAGGCACACTGAACCTAAACGTTAAGTTGGAGAGGTCTCGTCTAATGAAGTCAACGCTCCGTCCCCCTCGTGCTCTGTTCCAAAGTCCCGAAAGCTTTCAGCTCGAGTTACAAAACCGTTTTCAGCGCCTAGAAGACTGCAATGAAGTGGACGATATGAATGACAAGCTCGTGGAAACTGTCCATGCGGTCGGAGCTAAGTTCTGCAAGACCCGCCGCAGAAGAACACAAAAACTCTCCGATCACACTCTTAATCTCATGGCTGTTAGACGGGTGATGAAGCTACATTCTTCAACAGACTTGACATCATACAGGCATCTGAACAGACAGATCTCCAAATGCATGCGGCGGGACTTACGCAACTTCAATACAGCTCGTATTGAAGAAGCGATCGAGCGGAACCAAGGCTCCAAAGTCTTTGCCAGAGATCTGTCTGCCAGAAAAAGCCAACTGTCAAAGCTGAAGACAGAATGTGGCAGCATCGTTTCCGGGACACCTGAGATTTTGAGTGAGATTGAGAGGTTCTATGGGCAGCTGTACACGTCATCGTTGGAGCCACACGCAAGTGTGAGTAACGATCCAAGAGCGAGTCTCATCCGACACTATTCCGAAGATATCCCGGACGTCAGTCTGAGCGAGATTAGAATAGCTCTCCAGCACCTTAAAAACGGTAAGGCCCCAGGCGAGGATGGAATTACAGCGGAGCTTCTGAAAGCGGGTGGAAGACCGGTACTTGAAGTCCTTCAGAAGCTCTTTAATTCCGTCCTCCATGGTGGCATTACACCGGAGGCCTGGAGCAGAAGTGCGGTGGTCTTGTTCTTCAAGAAAGGTGACAACGCTCTCTTGAAGAACTACAGACCGATTTCCCTTCTGAGCCGCGTCTACGTGCTGTTTTCGAGAGTCATTACGAATCGTCTCGCGCGCAGACTTGACGACTTCCAGCCTCCCGAACAAGCTGGTTTCCGAAAGGGCTTTAGCACCATAGACCACATACATACTCTTCGGCAAATTGTACAGAAGTCCGAAGAGTACAATTTGCCACTATGTCTGGCGTATGTGGACTATGAGAAAGCCTTTGATTCCGTCGAAATTTGGGCGGTGCTGCAGTCCCTTCAGCGGTGCCAAGTTGACTGTCGGTATATCGAAGTGTTGAAGTGCTTGTACAGTAGGGCTACGATGGCTATCCGAGTACAGAACCAGAGTACGAAACCTATCCAATTGCAGAGAGGTGTAAGACAGGGTGACGTCATATCCCCGAAACTCTTCACCGCTGCATTGGAAGACGTTTTCAAGCTTCTGGACTGGAAAGGATACGGTATCAACATCAATGGCGAGTACATCACTCACCTTCGATTTGCCGACGATATAGTCCTTATGGCAGAATCGCTGGAGGACCTAAGCACTATGCTCAATGACATCGATAGTGTTTCCCAACGGATAGGTCTTAAGATGAACATGGACAAAACGAAGATCATGTTCAATGTCCATGTCACACCTATGCCGGTAGTTGTTGGGAGCACTAAGCTCGAAGTTGTTGACGAGTATGTTTACCTGGGACAAATAGTCCGACTAGGTAAGTCCAACTTCGACCGAGAGGTCAATCGACGGATTCAACTCGGCTGGGCAGCGTTCGGGAAGCTACGACACATCTTCTCGTCAGACATACCTCAAAACCTGAAAACGAAATTGTACAACCAGTGCGTGTTGCCAGTGATGACTTACGGAACTGAGACGTGGTCCTTCACTGCTGGCCGTATGAGGAAGCTCAAGGTCGCTCAGCGAGCTATGGAGAGGGCTATGCTCGGAGTTTCTCTGCGTGATAAACTTAGGAATGAGGATATCCGCAGTAGAACCAGAGTAACCGACATAGCCCAACGGATTAGTAAGCTGAAGTGGCAGTGGGCCGGCCATATAGCTCGAAGAACCGACAACCGATGGGGAAGAAAGGTTCTCGAGTGGCAGCCTCGTACCGGTAGGCGAAGTGTAGGGCGTCCCCCCACGAGATGGAGTGACTACCTGGTAAGACATGCAGGAAGTCGATGGATGCAGGTGGCTCAGGACCGTGCTTTGTGGCATTCTTTGGGGGAGGCCTATGTTCAGCAGTGGACTTGTGAAGGGCTGTAATGATGATGATGATGAAGAAATAGCTTCCAAAAATATTCTCTTATTTAATTAATGAATTTAAAATATGCTTATAATTTGACATGCGTTAACTTACTTAGTTTTTAGTGCAAGAGCCACTAAATTGTTTAACGGGGACTCGATGAACAACGCTATATACAAATTCAGCAATCCAGTTATCACAACAATGCCTATCGAATCTTGCAACTGAAAAAAAAAAACAATAATTCTTGTGGCACAGGCCAAAAATCCTTTACTTATTAATATTTAGGGTAGCAATGGTTTGCTGTGACCCCGTTTACACTCTCGTGCGAGTGGCGAGGCGAGTCGCGAGGCAAGCCACGAGGCGCTAGGCGAGTCACGAGGTGCGAGTGTAAGCGCTAGCTCGTAGATCGCCTCGCAGCTTGCCTCGCCACTCGCGGCGCTCGCGTCGGAGCCGGTGTTTTGCGCACGAGGCAAAGGGCCTCGCGAGGGACGCAAGCGTGGTGTTTACACTCGCGTCTCGTTTCAGTTGTTTACGGCGCCCTTTCAATAACATTCGAATTGCTTTTGTTTTAAAAATACAATTTTAATAAAATAATATAATTTAATCTTGCACAATAGGTACTAGCAATTTATATAAAATTATGAAACTGAAAAGGTTCTGTTTCGATGAATAGATATCGTCCGTCATATTCTTCCTCAGCGACGTATTTTTATTAATTTCCTTCTTTTTAAAATGGTCAAGCATCGATAATACTTATTTAAGGCAAGAGTTGATGCCGCTATTATTTCGACGTCTTTCATCGTTGCTGGATCAATGCAAACTGACCGCATCGCGAGAGTGTAAACAGGCACTCGTTACCTCGCAACAACACGCGAGCTGCGAGGCGAGGTACGAGGCGAGGTGCGAGGCGAGAGTCTAAATGCGGCAAATACTGCTGTGATTTGCGCAGAAGATATTATAGTTCCGTAAGTGCATGACACGTGAGTACTTGCACGTTCCAACCTAACCGTGTCTGATGTAACGATTATAATATTATTATACATATTATGGTTCTATGGTATTATTATAATAAAACAAACGTTAGTAATTGTTATAATATAATATACACACAAATATGCTGAGATAGAGTTCACCTAAGTTCAAACTTAGGATCAAAGCATATTTAAAAATTGAACGCAATCCTAATAATGTAAAGAGACATTATTATACATATAACATGTAACAAAAATCCTTTGGCTCCCGTAAAGTGCGTTATCAGAATGCGTATTCCAACGTATAGAAATATTTTTTTTTCAGTAAACTATCATTAATTTTTTTTTATTTCATTAAAATATATTTTTTTATTTGCAAATTGTGTGTAATTTTATTACCTCTAACTGACATGAGCATCAGCAAAGCGGGGTCTTTGACAATCCTAAGAGGTCTTCCCTCCCCTAACAATGCAGAGGTAATAAAACCACATACATTATGCAAATGATTTTTTTAAATTAAAATTGAGTTATTAATGGTCGAGTTTTTTGAATAAAAGCTATTTCTATTCGTTTGAATACAGATTTTGATAATTCACTTAACGGGAAGCACAAGATTTTTGTTACATGTTGTATATAATCTAATATATAAAAATAATTAAACTTACAATTTTCAATGAATCATACCATGCTGGACTACGCAAACCTAGCGTTATCTTCATAGCGAAGACAAAATGGCACATGTAGATCCCGTAGGAGAGTTTACTTAGAGGCACGAATGCCGACCAGCTTAAGAAGTCAGTGATGTGAGCTAGAAAGTAGAGAATATTCAGATAATTGGTATTTGTTGATTCTTTTCGGTATCAATCATGCATTTATAACATTTTAGCGATTAACAATCGTAACATTCATCGGTTAGTAATCAATCGATTAGAATCTTTTAATGAACTATAAAATGATGTGTTAACTATTAATTCCTGAACGATATGATCAAATAATTCACAGTCGTAAATAATTTCGTCTATCTATCATAATTTCTTATATTATTACTTATTCATAAGCACATAGGTTATAAAATATTAAATTTTATGAAAACAGCGAAGCAAAACATTTTCTTTGACGTATTGACGTCAAAGAAAATGTTTTGCTTCCCAGTTTTCATTTTATCTTCATTTCAGTTTATCACTGAATATTAAATTATATTAAATTGATATTTGGACAATTTCATAACTTATGTAATTTTCAAAGCAAATGTAAGAAGAGATTTCAATAGTTAAGGTAACAACTTAGTGAAAAAACATGCGTGAGTGTCGTGGAACACTCGGTTGGAACGAAGTTCCTTTCGTAGTATATTATTATTAATAAATGTATAAGGTATATTATTGATTTACAAATACAAATGAATGAATTTCTATCGTCTATTAAAATGAAGCGTCATTTAAAATAAAAAAAAATATTTCTTTCATGGAAAGATAAAAAAAAGTGCGAAGGAAATGGATATTATTTCATCTCGCTTCCTTCTAGCCGCCAAAGCCGTCTACACTACGTCATAAGGGGTCGTGATGTAAAAATCTTAGACTTTTTAATTGTAATAAGAAAAAAAGTAACATACGGTATTTCGGCTATTTTATTTTAAATTTAAAAATTAATAATCGCTTTACTTTCTTACTTGCAAAAATACTTACGTAAAGTTCCGTATACGCACAATAATATAAAGGCTGCCATAAGACCAGCCCAAATAGGTCTAATCAATGCGGCAAAGAATGTAGATTCTATGACATTGTATTCGCGGAATTGATACGCTGACCCCATGAATAGTATTGTTGCTGATAGCGTTATAATTGTGATGAAACTAAGGATTGAATATTTCTGAAAAATAAATTGAGTTCTGGGAGTAAGTAAATATAATCAAAAATAATTGTTTGATCTTAATTGCTTGACTGATCTTACAAGTTTAAAAAAAATCGCTTGTACAGTGCCTAGTGCTGGACAGACAAACTGAAGGTCGATTCCTGTTGTCCAATTGAAAATTATTCTACAATGATAATTTATAAGTAATTATCACTAATGATTTCTTATATTTACGCGAACACTACACATTTAAATAAAACTAATTTTACGGATTTGATCGCGTATATTAACTTATTTTATATTCCCGACGTTTCGGGACGGGACTGAGGTGTTTGACGTCCTGATGTCATAGTTAGCCCGGCTACCTTCAGTTTTTTGAAAAGAAATACTCCGAAAAATTAGATATCAACGTGAATTCGACAATACCATCATGTGCCAAACCACCAAGGTTGTATGAGTTACCGAAAATACACAAATCAAACGCTCCACTACGTCCTATACTAAGCCAGATCGATTCACCAACTTATAAGATGGCTTCACACTTGGCAAAAATACTGTCACCACTAAGAGGATACACCAGAGCACACACAAATGATTCATACCTTTTGTTAGTGAAATAAAAGACCTACATCTCGCTGACAATGAAACTAGGGTCAGTTTTTATTTTCGGTCACTATTCACATGCCTACCTATTGAAGACTGCATCTCAACTGTTACTAGAAAGCTAGAAGATAACAACATGCCCTCAGAATATGCAGTATTACTCAAACACTGCCTCACATCTGGCTATTTATTGTGGAAAGAAGAGTTCTACATGCAAGTAGACGGAGTGGCAATGAGCTCACCTGTATCTCGCGTAGTCGCCGACATATTCATGGAGGACTTTGAGGAGAAAGCCCTTCTTACTGCTCCTGTAAATCGTACGTAGACGATACTTTCACAATTTTACCATCTAGCAAAGTAACTGCATTTTTAAACCACCTTAATTCCATAAACCCTAAAATGCAATTCACAATGGAGTTAGAGGCAAACAATACTTTAGCGTTCCTAGATGTTTTAGTCATCCGAAATCCTGATTACACTATTGGTCATACTGTGTACAGGAAAAATACCCATACCAACCGATATTTAAATGGTGAATTGCACCATCATCCTTCACAGTTAGCTACCGTGGGAAAATCTTTGTTTCAGAGAGCACGAGGGATCTGTGACAGAAAACATCTGGCCGCCGAGCTTTAGCACGTCGAGCATGTATTGCAATACAACAAGCTTCGGGTCCCGCGCCTACGTCACAGTGACCGAGTGAAGCCAGCCACAGTCGAGCGTGTGCCTGCTGTACTACCCTATGTCAAGGGAGTCACAGACAAGGTTGGCTACATCTTGAAGCGAGCTTCCATTAAAACATACTTCCAGCCGCTGAAGAAGATTGGTCAATTTTTACAATCCAGTGTCATATCCTTCTACAAGATGCAGGAGTGTGCAAGCTGGATTGTGAATGTGGTCTCTAGTACACAGGACAAACAAAAAGATCTATAAAAACCCGCGTTAAAGAACATATAGCTGACGTGAAGCACCGACGTATCGGGAAGTCTGCAGTTTGTGAACATGTTCAAGATCGTCCCTGCCATTACATTATATTTGATAGACCACAAATCCTCGCAAAAGAACACCGATTCCTACTAAGGACGATTCGAGAGGCTATTGAAATTAAAAAACATCCTTATTTCAGTAGAAAAGATGGATGGGTGCTGCCATCTGCTTGGGATCCCATAATTAATAAAATTAAATCCAAACCCAAGTATACCACTGCTAGACTTCAAGATACTGTAAGCTCATTCTGCGTAAATCGAACCAAAAATTAATTTAAATAAACTGAAGGTAGCCGGGCTAACTATGACAGCAGGACGTCAAACACCTCAGTCCCCCGTGACCACGGGTGCTGGAAAGCACCCGAAACGTCGGGAATATAAAATAAGTTAATATACGCGATAAAATCCGTAAAATTAGTTTTATTTAAATAATTATCACTATTTATGTAAAATTGACCGGTGAAACACGTGGGATCTTTATAGCACGGTCCACGTCTCATGATTTATCAGGTTGTCATTCTATCTTAAGTATTTTCGAATTTGGTATTTACAGCTGTTTTGCAAAAATATATTATATTGAGTGTCAAAGTATCTTGAAATGATTTGTCAAAAAATAAAATAAAATTTAGTAATTGATTAATTTGACCATACCAATGATAATACGTTTCTGTAGCTGGTTGGTTTATACACGGAGAGAATGTAGCCTGCTATTAGACCTATGAAGTAAGGAGCTGCTCGCAAGTGACTCTGTACATACATCGGTGAGCCCAATATATATTTACGTATATCTTCAACTGTCCTTCAATAGAAATTATAATTAACGTCAAAATAAAACAAAAGAAGAAATTATTGAAGAAACAAAGTTATAACTTATCTATGGTAAAAATGGTCGTAATGGTTTCAATAGAGACTAGTCGTCCGCGCAGAAGGATTATAGTGCTCGAGTGTATGTGCAAGCACAGGTTTACTTTCTATTCCCTCACTCACATAGTCCGATAAGATAGCAATCCATCACGAACGGTGAGAAATCAGGCGCATGTTTCTTAAGTGGGGGTTAAACACGGTCAAACCAACACCACTTTATCAAATCGTAGTGCTGTTTGTAATTACCGTCTTTGTAGAATAATTCTGAACTTGTTGACAAAACTATATTAAAAAAAAATGTAACATTAGTTAATAAACGGCCACTGGGGGTGGTGAATCTCTGGCGGAAAATCAAAAAAAATACCAACTTCCTGACTCCGGTCTGCTATTGAGAACTATTTAACAGTAAGCCCAATAACTTTTTTAGGCAAGACCCGAATTCAAACCAGGGAACCCATAATAAGTAGTCGCGTATACGACCACTAGGCAACTGTTTGAAACTGGAAATTGTTTGTAAAGATGGGAAAAAAGGCGTAATACTTTTTTGTACTGATGGATCAGTGGGCAAAATTAATGCTTTTCATACTCGTACATATATTCTATTATTTTTTATTGTTTAGAATAACGGTGACAAGCGAGCACACAGTCCACCTAATGGTATTTAGATTCTATGGTCCATAGACATCTATATCTATCCTCGATTCAAAATCATAATGCAGACACATTGTCATCCCTGAGAAATAAAGTGGAATGCCTAGTTACCAATAAAAAGTTTTGTACACTCACTTTACGAAACACTTATATATTATTCTGCGCTATTACGATGTTTTTATGGAATAAGGTTGACAAACAAGCACACAGTCTAACTCATGGTAATTTTTTTTATAGGATAAGCGTGACAAACGAGCACACAGTCCACCTGATGGTAAGTGGTTGCTGCGGCTCATAGACATCTACATCTATCCTCGCTCGCGAATCAAAATGCAGATGCGTTGCCACCTGTGAGGACCAAGATGGAATGCCTCATTTCCAGTAAAAAGGGCCTCCGGCCACCTGCACACACCAAGCGAAACGCAGAGGTAAATCTCTACTTCACGCTGGTATTCTGTGAGGTCGTGGTACCACCCCGGTTCGAGCCGGCCCATCCGTGCGACAGCAAAAGCTGCCGCGTGGCTCTACCACTGTTGATGGATACTGCCCATTCGATTCTTTACTCCTGAGGACTTAGATGGAAAGCCTAGTTTCCAGTGAAAAGGGTACCTGTATTTCTATACTCACAATACAAAACACAGCAGTATTAAACTGCTGTTTTACGTTGATATTCTATGAGATCTCCTACTATTATAATATAGCTGCAGCGTGGCTTTACCACGTTTGTAATTATATTCTGTGAGAGCGTGGTCCTACCTCGGTCGAGCCGATTTATACGACAGCCATATTATAAAAGTGCAGTTGTAGCATCAATTAATTTGGCAGAATTTCCAAGAGACCACTTAAAGTCAATTAGTTTAGCAGATTTTCCAAGAGATTCAATATTTATTTATTTTTTATAGTAATTGTGTATGAATGATTTAGACTTGGAGACTGTGTGGTAAAATGTCAAGAAAGGTTTAGTGGATGCAGCTACCGAAGTATGTGGTGTAAGTAAGAGAACGAATGAAAGGAAAAATAACACGTTATGGTGGGATGATGAGGTACGGATGGAAGTTGAAGCAAAGAAGAAAGCATGGCTAGATTTACTAGCAACCAAGGCTAGTAATTCTAGCAGTATGAATGATGATATTGAAAGGAAAAAGGCAGTTTTTAGACACCTAAATAAGAGAGTAAAAGAAGTAGTTGAAAGGAAAAAGCAAGAAAGAACGGATAAGAATGATAGAAGAATATCGGATAACTTCCAGGCAAACATTAAAATGTTCTGGAAACTCGTAAGAACTACCAGGGGACATTCACAACAGCCTAGAATGAATGCTATACGAGACCAGAATGGCTGTATTCTGAATGACGAAGTTTTGAGTTTAAGGAGATGGAAGGAATACTTTGAAAGCGTGTTTATGAGTGATGAGACGTATATTTCGAAATTCCGAAAGAAGAGGAAATAGATAGAGATATAAGTATAGATGAAATAATGAAAGCAATGAAAAGTATGAAAGCAGGTAAGGCAGCCGGTTATGATAGAGTATCTCTCGAAATGCTAAGGGCTGGAGAAGGAGTGGTGGCAGACCTGCTGTACACCTTGTTTAATTTATGTTGGGAACTTAAGCGGGTACCGGGAGACTGGTGCAAAGCCGTGATAGTCCCAATATATAAGGGAAAAAGATCACAGCAGGACTGTAAAAACTACCGTGGTATCAGCCTTCTTAGCATTGTGGGAAAACTGTATGCTAAGGTACTAATTGAAAGAGTTATGAAAGAAACTAACGGAAAAATTTTGGATGTGCAAGCGGGATTTAGAAAGGGAATGGGATGTACGGATCAGGTCTTTTCCATGCGCATGATCGCCGAGAAGTTTTTGGACAAAAACCAAATAGTTTTTTGTGCGTTCATGGACTTGGAGAAGGCTTATGACAGAGTGGACAGGGATGTGTTATGGCAAACACTGAACTCATTTGGGTTGAGCGCTGGTCTGATACAGGCATTGAAATCTCTATATAGGGACTCTAGTGCTTGTGTCAGGATCAACGGGGCCTACTCGGACTGGTTTCACATCCATAAAGGTGTCAGACAGGGCTGTGTGGCTTCCCCGTGGTTGTTCAACCTATTTATGGACAGTTGTTTGGAAAATTTGAAATTAGAAGAATGCGGGTTAAGAATGGGTGAGTTAACCGTCAAATGCCTTTTGTACGCCGATGATCAAGTCATACTTGCGTCCTCGGCAGCCGAGTTGCAAATGATGGTTACATTAATAAACAGGACATTAAAAGAAAAGGGAATGAAAGTAAACGCAAGTAAGACGAAAGTTATGGTTTTTGAAAGAGAAGAAAGTAAAACGATATGTGAAATAAGAATAGAAGGGGAGTTGGTAGAGCAAGTAGATGAGTTTGTATATTTGGGATGTGTGTTTAGCAGGGATGGTAGATATGATAAGGATATAGAACGACGAGTGAATGCAGGAAATAGAGTGAATGGGGCTCTACACTCTATTGTGAAAAGTCAGAATGTGTCCAAAAAGGCACGTATGGCAATTCACAATGCTGTGTTAGTACCTACTTTAATGTATGGTAGTGAAAGTTGGGTGTGGCAGAAGAAGCATGAGAGTAGAATAAATGCTGTAGAAATGCGGTCATTAAGGAGTATGTTAGGAATGAAGCTGAATGACAGAGTGAGAAATTGTTTAATAAGAGAAGAGTGTGGTTTGCAAGATGATGTTGTGACCAGGATTAAGAAAGGAATGCTGCGGTGGTTTGGCCATGTAGAAAGATTGAATGAAGAAAGAGTGACGAAGCAAATTTATGTTGCAGATGTGAACGGCATAGTCGGGTAGGGTCGCCCTAGGCGAAAGTTTATCGACCAAATTGCCGATATATTAAAAATTGGCCAAATCAAGAGTACCTTTAACCGACGAGCGTGTATGTGTAGGTATATGGATGTGGAGGAAGCGAGAGAGGTGTGTCAGGATCGTGCCAAATGGAAGTCCATAATCTCTGCCTACCCCTCTGGGTGACAGGCGTGAGTGTTTATGTTATGTTATGTTATGTTTTTATAGTAAACGAGCATACGTCTCACCTGATGGTAAGTGACTACCGCCGTCCATGAACGGTTGTTCATGGATCGTCATGACGGTTGTCACACCAGGGGAATTGGAGATGCGTTGCCGGCCTTTTAGAAAGGTGTAAGCTCTTTTCTTGAAGGTCCCTTAGTCGTATCGGTCCGGAAAAATCACCGGTGGTTAACAATTTCACAGAGCAGTTGTACGAGGAAGAAAACTCCTAATAAAACATACCGTCTTGGACCGCCAAGCATGCAAAGCAAGATGGTGAGGATTGTATCGTGAATTTTGACGCAATTTGCGTTCGAAATTTGGCGGCTGGATTTAATCCAAACAATTCCTCAGAGCACTCCCCGTGGTAAATTCCATAGAAAATGCAAAGGGATGCAACATACCTACGCAGTGCCAGTACGTCGAGCCGATCAGAAAGAACTCGGTCGTCAACGATTCGAACCGCTCTGCACTGGATGTGGTCAAGTGGAATGAGCTGGCACTGGGGTGCCCCGGCCTAGACATAAGAACAGTATTCTATGTGAGGCCGAACTTGTGCTTTGTAAAGTTGCAAGCGATGTGCCGGCATGAAATACTATCTCGCTCTGCTGAGCACACCAAGCTTTTTAGAGGCTAATGTGGCCTTCTCTTCCAAGGGACCATGAAACTGCACACTATTCGATATGTCGATGCCGAGGTTTCCGATGCTAGCTGAGATAGCAAGGGGAGTGCCTTGAAATTGTAGATAATGTAGATATGACATAGGTGTTCTTTTTAGCGGTAAACGCGCAAACTTGTATCTTCTGGGGGTTGAACTGGACTAGATTTAGTCGCCCCCAATCCGAGACTTTGTTCAGCAAAGACTCGACTTCAGACATAAGTTTGTCCCGGTACTCGGCGACGTTTTACCGAAAAATATTGGCACGGCTGGTATATAAGGCATCACCAGTGCTGTCGTCTGCATAGCAATGAATGTTACCAGTTTGCAACATATCATTGATACGCTGGAAAAACAGCGTTGGCAGCTCACAGCCTTGTAGAACACCAGTGTTGATAGGCTTAAAATCAGAACATGCACCGTCCACTACGACCTTGATGCTCTGATCAGCAAGGAAACTGGTGATCCATTTGCATAATTTCTCGGGAAGCCTATAGGAAGGAAGCTTCGAAAGAAGCGCTTTGTTTCAGACCCGATCGAAGGCCTTAACTATGTCCAAACTAACGGCCAATGCCTCCCTCTTGGACTTTATTGCCTCCGCCCATCTATGAGTCAGGTAGACCAGAAGATCACCAGCTGATTAACCTCGACGAAAACCGTACTGGCGGTCACTAATCAGCTGGTGATCTTCAAGGTACCTCATGAGCTGGCAGTTAATAATGGATTCCATTATTTTGGAGAACAAGGAGGTGATGGCGATAGGCCTGTAGTTGGACGGGTCTGAGCGGTCTCCTGTTTTAGGGATCGGGTGGACCAAAGCTGTCTTCCATGTATTCGGAACTACGCATTGGGAGTAGGAGTACCAGAAAAGACGTGTTAAAACCAGTGCTAACTCCGGAGAACACGTATTCAGCACAATGGGAGGGACTCCATCAGGCCCACTCGACTTGCAGACGTCAAGGGAGAAGAGTGCTTTGCGGATTATATTTGTGTGTTACACAATCATACGACGGTATGTCAACAGCTCGGTTTCCATATATAAGAAACGTTGTGTTTTCTATAACATGACTGCCCAAGAAGAAGGCAACGTTTTTTTGAGAGTATGTATGTCTATTTGTTTGGCACGCTCTATAGTTTAAACGGCTTGATGGATTTTGTTATGAGGTGTCATGAGACTTTTCTTGTGTGACAAAAACTATATAATATTGCACGCCTCATAACGCAAAGCATTATTAGGTAATGCTTTACTCTTGACACGTCAAGGTCAAGCAATTTTATGTTCTTAAAATACCTCTATCATAACCATATTGCACTTATACGAAAATATAAGTAGCCGTATATCAAGAAAACTAATTAATTCGTCTTATATTAAAAAAAAAACATTTTATATTGCTTCTTTGAAAGAAAACAGTTTGAAAAAAAATTTAAGTGGACGTCCGGATGTTAATTTTATATGAGATCACGATAACACCCAAAAAATTGACGTATCGAAATCGGGTTTTTTTATTAGCTTCAGAACTACATCAACTGGTTCACTATTTCTATATCAATAGCCTAGCACGTGTAGCTTGTTAATAAAATGATTTTCTACTGTTAGAAGTTTTATTGCTATTAAACATTTAAAGACGTTTTCATATTTTTTGATAAACAAGGACAAATGTACCATCAAATGTATATGCGTTAATTTTTGCCACAACAACATCACCCTCTTCTAGGATTTCTTGGAAACTGTCAACGTTTTAAACCTCCGCTAGGCGAATTTTATTTACATTAAATGCATATTTTGTTTCTAAAGCGGCCTAACTGTGTTCTACAAAATATGTGGGTTTATTACCTTATAATATGGAGGATAAGAATTTCTACTACAAGATATATCATACCTTTGATGCTGGTACCTCTCTCTGTTTTTGATTGCTGAAATAAATATATACGGCACTGGGCGGAATGAGAGAACATAAGCCACGCAAGGTTTTTTAAATATTGAAACCATTTGTTCTTCCAGGGACAGACATATTTTAGAACCAGTGATAAATAAAAAAAAATAGTATTATCTAGTGTATAATGTACAGTGAAAAAAAAATCTAGTCTATTAAATATACTCATGGATAAATTTAAAGTAACGCAAAAAAAGTGTATATAAAAATATCATGGATATTTTTGAACATCATGGATGTTTGTCCTAGAAACTTACGTGGCATTAAGATCTAATATTCTCAGCTTATTTGCAGTAACAATTCACACAATAAAAAAGGTAGTGAGGCAAAAATTTAAACAAAACCTGAATTTCAACTAAAATTTAAAAGATTTTATAACTTTTCACGGTATAAAAGAACGCAATATTACGAAAAAATTGCGTATATAAAATAATATAATATAAAACAAATTAAATTCTAAAACTTTTTATAATAACTTTTACTAATGTTTATCGCCACCTTTTTTGTGCGTATCTTTAAATTTGTTCATGATTGTATTATGTAAAAATAAGAAAACTCACTTAAAATCAAAGACGGTGATAGCACTCAGCTGATTTAAGTACGTGTTGAGCCCAGGTAGTATTAATGAAACGATTATTACAAGTCCAAAGAAGTACTGACCACCACGACGATTTTTCTGGTACAGCCAATACATAATTGTACTAACTGCAGCCAAGTGAAAATCGGCTGGTACGTACCATGTTACCAAATTACACTAAAATGAAATAATTTTTCGTAAATATGGAGAAGATACATCCTGTCACTAATATCATAAAACTTACAATATTTGAAGTGTCGATGTAGTTGCCCAGCATTAGAAATCCCACCCACCAATTTTTCTTGCACGCATCCTGCTCCACTTTTGCGAATTTAAACCATAATGGACCGTGGTAAAGGTAAGGTGAGGCGGTGATTGTAATTAAGACTGTGATAATAAAAATCCATATTAGCCTGCAACAAAATTTATCATGTAATCTAAGCTTTAGGTTATTGTGTCAGTTTTAACGCCTTGATTTTCTATTATCATCAATTACTGCTGGGGACGGATTTATAATTCTGTATTATAATTTCACAATAATAGCCGTAATAGCTTGGGAGCTAAGCGCTTGTTGTAAATTTCTCAGGACATGACCAACTCGGACTCGATTCCCGCCGGCACAAATGAAATTATGCGACCGACCGATTAAACCGACAAATGGTATGTAGAACGGATCCAGTACCAAATCAGGTTGGCACTGTCGCATTCTGGCGTGGCCTGTGACAAGAGGCTGTCAACCATGGAGGAAACTTGGACGGATATTTTGGCAAGTCAGTGTGCGAGTGTTACACTCATGGACCCCGTCATCATAACGCTGGAAGATGTAGCGGTCCGTAAGGCCCGGAATGGGAAATGATTATATAAGACAATGATATTCATTTTGAGCGCGAGAATAACTCGCCATCTGTACTTGTTGACTACCGAAATACTATCATCGAGCTGCAAAAGGTTGACTGTACAGTTAGAGACTTCCTCAAGCAGTGTGTGGAGCAGTGCAGTATGGTACTTTGTCATCTAGGCGAGCGGATGATGGCTGCGGAACGCCGCCTAAGGATAAGAAGGAGTATCTTCCAGGGCGATTGTCTGAGTTCAATCTGGTTCTGCCTCTCTCTGAACCCACTCAGTACCTTATTGGAGGGATTCGGGAGGGGATTCCAGCTTCGAAAAGGAAATACTATATTGATGATCTCTAATTATTCGCCTCCTGTCACTTTCTATCTCATAGAATTGCTAAACATCACTTGTGAGTTTAGCAATTAAGACGAGAACTTCGCGAAAGCCGATAAAGATAAGCAAACAAAATATCTGGCTCACGAAGTGAATTACATGTGGAGTGGTCTGCCGACCAAAATTATTCCTATGGTCGTCTCTGCGAACGGGTAAATCCCGGTCATCCTCTCGAATCATCTGAGGACACTGGGACTCCCTAATGGACTGCTTCAAGAAGATAGAAGGCGGTGCTCCTATATATCACCCTCATCATCCGCCGGTTTCTTTCCCTTTCCACCTAACTCTCAGCCGTTTGGTTTCCCCAGCCAAGGGCTTCCATGTGGTTGGGTATTTATTTATTTATATATTATTTATTTTGTTACTATATTTAATGTATTTATGTATATTTATTATTGCTACGGCCTTCAGTTGCCCCGACAGAAGTCGACTGGCCTAGCCCAGTCGACTTCTGTCGGGGCAACTGGGCTAGGGCCCATGAGTAGCTCACTCGACGGGCAACCAGAAGGTTCGGGCCCAAAAGGCCTATGAATAATTATTAACTAATGGCTGATAAGCAAACACAAACTTACCGCTAGTTCTGGAGGTAGGGTTGACCACAGGGTATCAGTAAGGTGGTAATTAAGGTGTATGTAAGTCGTGTGCGAAAGTGTGTATTAATGTAACCTGACGTCACCGATGTAATCGGACAGCAGACCCACAGGCGCTGCTTTTCTACACAATGTGCGATCCCTCCAGTGGGCGTTCACCAATTGAGACTTTCAGCTTTTATTTCACTATATTAGTTTATCAATTTTATTAAGCATTTAATTAACTTCAAATTTAACTGAATCAACGTTAGTCGAACTTAAAAACAAGTGACACACTGCACAACCCAAGAACTGTCGGTCAAAGTTCAATGTCCCATGTTCACTTAGCACAAAACTATAATCGAGCACGAACGCGACCACCTCTCGGGTCAAAAAGTTTTAGCGTTCCACCCGACAAAGCAAAAATTCCTTCGTACGATATTAAAATGCCACAAAAGCAACTCGTCGACGCAAATTAATGGTTAACGTTCCGAGCGTAAATTTTAGACCGTCTAACCGACACGGCAATCGCGAACAATTAACTCACCCACACCTCAGGCGACCGAGCGGTCAGCTGAGAGACTCGCGCGGGAGAGGGGGCCGGCGGCGACCTTAAATTCCATCGGAAGGACACGCCGAGATGCGCGTCTTGAATGCAAGTTTTTAAAATGTTAATATTTGGCCTAAACAAACCCCCGTCCTGAACATAAGGAACTATGTCCGCGAGTAAATTGGCAAACGGGATAGGGTCGCGACGGCACGTTGCAAGACCAAATTTCCAACCAAAACCTCGGCCACCCTAGGCACCCCATCCGATCTATACGACAACTTAACAATGCGCCCACGGCGCCAATACAAAGGCAAAGCGTTGGGTTCTTTAACTAATATGAGGTCTCCAACCCGAAGAGGATCCGTCTTGTCAGACCACTTAACGCGCTGCTGCCAAAGATCCTCCAGAGACTATCGGTGCCAAAAACTCTGAGTCATTTTTGTTTGTATCCTGATCAATTGAAAGAAGGCTGTGTCAGACCTGTGCATAAGAAAGGAAAACGTGATGACTACTTTAATTATCGCCCAATTACATTATTTTCGTCAATTGATAAAATTGTGGAAAAATTCATAGGCGAGCAAATACACAAATTTTATACGAATAACTCTGTATAAGTCCGTATCAGTTTGGTTTCCAATCAGGAAAAAGTACAACAGGTCTTTTATCAAACTTCACTGATGATGTCAATAGTCACCTAAATGAAAAAAGACAGGTGCTTGCCCTATTTATTGACTTCTCACGTGCTTTTGACACCATGTTACATGAACAGCTTGTGGACAGATTAGACAAATGTGGTGTACGTGGTCCATTGCTTAACTGGTACCGTTACTACTTGAAGAACCGAAAATCTTTTGTGAAGATTGAAAATAACTACAGCAAGCCTATGTTGATGACGGAGGGTACGGCACAAGGTTCGGTACTAGGACCGTTGCATTTTTTGTCCTACGTCAATGACATGGGAAGCTGCATCGTCAATTGCACGTGCTACCAGTTTGCTGATGACATTTGCCTTGTAATTGGTGATAAAAATCCACAAAAGGCTTGTGACCTTTTACAGTCTGACCTAGATGTCCTAACAAGATGGTGCCATGATGCTGGGTTCGTCCTTAACGCCAGCAAAACTAAGTTGTTAGTAATCAAATCTCCATACCTAAAACCCACTGCAATTAAAAAATTTGTCGCAAATAATCACATCTGCCTACATAATAACAGCGCTACTGAATGTTGCTGCCCACAAATTGAAATAGTTGATACACAAACATATCTCGGACTAGTTATTGACATTAACTTTAATTACAGACAGCATATTGAACATGTATGTACTAAACTAAGACAGTTTCTAGCAAATATCACTATTCTCAATAATCGCATTCCATTGAAAATAAAGTTAATGTTATATAATGCACTTGCGGAGTCGCACATTCAATACGGGCTAAGTAGCTACGGCCGAACTTACAAAACATATCTTGACCAGATCTATAATTTACAAGCAAGAATACTTAAAATCATAGTTCCAAATAAAATAAAAAATAAATTCCGCGATGACGTCGCGGACATGTAGCTACTTAATACCTCGGCTTATCAATAATATGCCGTCAGAATTGTTGGATAATATCAATAAAAATAACATTAAGTGTAAGTTAAAGGATCATTTTCTTAAGTTATTATAAAGTGTTTTCTGATATATATTTTTCTCTGAATGTTTGCATGTTTTTTTTTCTTTTTACAGTATCCTTAATACAATATTACGCTATTTTCTTATAAAATTGTAAACTCTCGATAACATAGATATAAATCTTAGTGGTTTCTTATATGCTATCACTATAAATATTTGTAATGCTTGTTGATGTGATAAATAAATGAAAAAAAAAATTGTTGCAGCAGGTCAAATCTACTCAACCGCGAAGAGTTTATTTCCCTGAAGGGGTACTCGGGCAGGGCGGAAAGCGGCTCGCCAATCAGGAAGTGGCCCGGGGTTAGAACCTCCAAATCATTCGGATCAGACTAGAGGGGACAGAGGGGCCGAGAGTTATTACCGCCTCAATTTTACAGAATACAGTGGCAAGCTCCCCAAATGTCAAAATAGTTTAGCCAATAACGCGACGGAGATGCGTTTTTGTAACCTCAACCACCGCCTCAAAAATACCGCCCCAATATGGGCAAGCTGGAGGGTTGAATTTCCACTGGATGCCCTTCTTAGATATCGCAGTACCTCAATAAGTCCTGTTGCTGGACAGAAATTCGACGACCTCTTTCAAATATTTACCCGTGCCCTTACAATTCGTTCCGCAATCAGACCGGATCAGGTCCGGCAAACCGCGACGCGATACGAAGCGGCCCAGCGTGGCCACAAAGGCTTCAGTGCTGAGGGCACTTTCAAGTTCTAAGTGAACGGCCTTAGTGGCGAGGCACACAAAAACGCACAGATAGGCCTTATGTGAACGCGCGTTACGAAGGTTGGAGGACTTGACGAGGAAGGGGCCAGCAAAGTCTGTTCCGACTCCAGCGAATGGTCGGATGGCCCTGATGCGATCGGGTGGTAAGTCACCCATCATAGGCTGCGATATCGACCCATCATGGCCTTCAGTTTATAACAAGGTATGCACTTAAAGAGGACGCTCCGAATGGTGCGTCGGCCAGCCAAAATCCAAAACTCCCGCTGCAAAATAGCCGAAAGGGCATTACATCCCGCGTGGGTATTCTTAACATGATGGTGAGTTACCAGCAACCGAACAAAGGCTCCGTGCTTAGGGAGCAGTAACGGGTATCGAGCCCCGTACGGCAGTTGAGAATTTTTCAAACGTCCGCCAACGCGCAGCATCCCAGAGTCGTCCAGGAAGAGGTTCAGACAGGCCAGAGCGCCCTTGACAACGGAACCCCGCTTCAAGGTTTCAATCACGGGCTCAAAATGCTCCTCTTGGACCATACGGGTCCAATGCATCAAAGCTTCGCGACGCTCGCTAGAGAACAAAACGGAATCACAGAATCGGTTGGACGGGTCTCTCGAATTGCGGACAAATCGACGCAACCAAGCAGTCACTCCTAAGAGCTTATCGAAAGAGCTGTA